AAGCCAAAGTAATGTAGAAACTGCGCCAAAAATGTTAATGGTATTTTGTAGATACCATAAATTCATATACTCCTCAGTAAATCTTCTCTTTCCGTAACAAAGCGTTCTGAACCATTAAATCAAACAAACTTTCATCGGTAAAACCAGAATTCTTAGCGATTACATTAAGCACACTCTGAGAACCAAACGAACAGAACAGGTTACATTCCAGAAAAAATGGATTTCCTTCGAGGTCTACCCGGAAGTCGAAAAGGCCAAAGTCCTGCAGGTCTAACTCTTGAAAAACTCGACGACTTTGCTGCTGGATGCGGTTTATTAGGTCAGCTTCCTCTGCAGGGTCAAGAAACCAAGTCTTAGCATTTGGTGGCTTGCCTATAGAGAGACAAATAGGTAAATACATAAAAATCATCTTAATAAGTTTACTACCAGCGACAGCCTGACGGTGAACATAAACTTTTTTTATTGCTTTTCTTGCCTAGAGAAAAGAAATTGCTAATACGTTGATGTCAATTCTACTAGGGGCGTAGCCAGCACATAGACCTGAAAATGTAGGCCCGGACCTACAAATTTTGGTTTGATCACTCTACCGCTTGCAACAAAGTATGCGTTGCTGGGGTGAGGTAAAAAGCTTAAAGAGCTCAAAGTGTTGGTGAAGTCAGTGCGTACTGGTCATGCGACCAATTTTCAGGATGTGTGGAAATGTCAGCGAGGCCTACTACTTGTCGAAAGCGGCTATACCCCTGTCTACTTTGCAATAATTCCGATAGTCAGTTGATTTGTATTGGGGTTTACATAGGACTGGTCTACGTGTGACTCAGATACTACCTATTGACTATTCATATATTTGGTTACTCAGTAATAAACTTGACATGTGTTATATGAATGTGATCGAGGAAGATTTACGATTTTGACTTTGTTAAGGAATGAAAAAAAGGGGTACTCACTAATAGGTAATCCTTTTTCATTGCAGAAATACTTATCCTCGGTTTTACGAATGTCATCTTGACGTACGTTGTATTCCATACACGACAAGGCCTGTATATCTCCGGTTTTTTCTGATTTTACTACAGCGCACCGAATCTCCCGTCCTTCTATGAATCTGTACAAGTAAAACGGCACAAACATGCTTTTAATAGCTTATAACAAGGCAAACCTTGGTATCCACGCCGCCTTTTTTTATTTTTGCCCTCTTTTCTTGCCTGTTACGGGCTAAGCTTTGGCCAATCCCTTCAAAAACCTTTAATTAAGGGGTAAGTGTCTGGCGGTGATACCTCACCAGGTTAACCAATGAAACGGGTGATATCGTACGATGCTTTGCGCACATCAACCTTTCTGTGAAAGGGACCCCTTTTTTAATGTTGACTGTGTTCGACTTGGATTAATTTTTTTTCCGCAGATATCTACCATATCGGGCATTCTCTCTGATACTGAATCCAATATTCTTTGTGCGAACGAAAAATTTTAATATTAACCCTTTAAGCCCTAAGAGTGATGAGCGTCAAATTTCTCCTTGTAATATCAATGCTTTGTAAAACAGAGTGGTCGTGAGAATTACGGACATGATCACACAAGATGAATCTCATTGATACTTCAACAAATTCTCCCAACTACTTCTATTGAAAACGTATAAGGATAACAAGTGAGAATCTGAATTTTGATGTTAGGGTTTAAAGGGTTAAAAATCGAAACTTAGGCAGTAATAAGGATGAGTCACTGAATGACCTCAGCAAAGTCCTCTTCAACGTTTTACGTTTTTGAACTATATAACCTAGACAACCTGTACCTTTCAATGATTACTTGATTCGAATAAGTCAGCGCATGCTTAACAGCTGCATCTAGAGACTGTTTGTCCTTTACCAGGCGCACTGATTTGGAATCTTCTCCTTTGCTTGCCTTGACAACACACGGGTATTTGATATTCTCAGTTGGTGTGGGGTCTCCTATGAAGAGCACAAAAATAAACGAACACTCTCATTACTTTTAGCCAAATTGTTTGCCTGTCCCCTTGTAAACGGGACAATAAACTGCAAAACAGTCGGCTTTTTCTCAAAAACGGTAAAGAAATCGGTAAAGCGTGGCTTAAGAGTCTTACGCGCGCGAACCGCGCCAGCCTCACACGCCCGTAAGGCGTGTGAGGCGAGACTGGGGAGAGACGCTAAAGAGAGTATTTTTAGCGTCTCTCCCCAATCTCACTCTCCGTTTTCAGCCTCGTTCCAGACCTTTTGTTTGACTGCTCGCGCTTACTTGAATACACAAAAATACCGACTGTTTAGCAGTCTAACAAAACAAGGGAGCTCCTACAGTTTTATGAGATTAAAGGTGAGAGCAAACTTCAAACTCCACAGAACCACTCGGATCACCTTTCACGCTATAGGCAGCTAATGAGAGAACAAACGATCAGGGGTTCCGCAGAAGGATAAGTCTTTCATCCGTAAATCCTTAGAGAGGAGAGAGACGTTGCTGATCCAAGCATTATGTAGAACAAGTCTCACGACAATCCAGCAGTAGTTCGTTCAACCCCGCTTGACTGCGCATTGTAAAAGGCAAAAAATTAAGGCCAACCCGAATCCAAACTACACAGTAGAGGCATACTAGGGGTACTTATTTTTTACTTTGTGATCGGTGACATCCCATACGACATTACAGCTAGCCTGCGAAATTCCCCGCGAAACATCCTCAGCGAAGAAGAGCGAGGAGAAACGGCTGTTTTCGCAGGCTACATTACGGCATTGTTGCATTCGCTTTTATGCCTTTATATGATGAATCAGCTGCATGCGATGCGCTTCAATATAAGGTTGCGACAGAAAATCTTGTCACTACGACGCTCACAAGATAATAAGGACACACCAGTATGAAGCTTTCATTTGAAGCTTTCATTTTCAAGATACTTTCAAGATATTTTGTGGACTCATCGTAGACGACACAGTTGTCTTACGGTACAGTTATAATTTCTGGAAAGGTGTCTTTAGGTATAAAGGGCGCCCGACTGGTTCGAGTTTCTTGTGTTGCCATAAACTAGTCGGTGAACACTAGCTCTCTCGACTCAAAAGAGAAGAGGCAACTTTGAAAGTGATATCCCTGTCGACCCAACTCAAGAGAGCTTGCTCACAGCATACCCATGTGAACATGAAGTTTTGAGACTAAGCTTAGCAGCTTAGTAAACCCTGTCATTTTCCCCCGGCACAGCAAATATTACCTCTGTTCAGAATCAATCCCTGGACACAAGAAACATTGTTGTTGGCCAGCAAAACACCCCGTGTCTCAAGTTTATCCATGCTAAGGTAACGCGACTCTGCTGATCCGCCTATAAGAGGAATATCCAGCGCTTCGAAAAGAGCCCTTCAACAAAAAGAACACAGTGTCAGCAACAACTCACAAGACTAGATCGAACAGATGAATGAAGGAGTTAGTTACTGTAGATATTGTGGTTTTGAGTCGGTGGGGAGCGTGAAAACATGAAAATTTGGTTTTCCTGATAAACGGAGTTAGACCGCGAGCAGTCTCTGTTTTCTTCAGACTTGAGGAGAGTGCACATGCGCGCAAGCGTCGAGATGTGAAAATCGAGGGCGGCCTCACTCACCTCGCGCCTTCAGTCATGCTTGTAGCCATTTTCGTCTCTCGCTCGTTTTGCTCTGGGGACTAAGAAAAAAGAGAGACTGCTCGTACTCTAAACTAAGTTGATAACCCTCCACGGGGTGGGGGAAAGCTGACATTTCGAGCTCTTGTCCTTTGTGAGAGAGAATCCAAAGATTGCTGGCTGTTTGTGGTTGATATACTGCTACCTAGCTCATATGTATTCTACCAATTCCTGATGGCCATGAAAGGTAATTTTGCCAGTAGAGTCGCCTTTGCATCTTCCATTTAAAATTCTCATATCGAAAGATTTACATATTTATAACAGGATTTTGCCATGGTCATTTAAATGTTGGTCAAGATTATTTTGTGACAGGACAATTTTTGTCAAAGGAAGACTACTTCCTGGTACAAAAATTACAAGGGACGAGAATGACAAAATCATTTTCTACACCAGTAATAAGGGGATTCTTTTGGTGAAATGCAACAAGAACCATAACATAACATATTTATCTTTTTGAAAAAGGATTTGTCAAGTTTACATCATACATAATCTGGGTTACTTAAAGAAGTGTGACATAGGGACTAATACTTTTTTACTGAAATTTAGGCCTCCTCCAGAGAATCTGAGATTTTGCAGCGTGAGATTTTCGTGGGGGGGGGGGGGGGG